CACCTGTATAGTTAGTTGAGGGTGGCCTTGTCAGGCATCAGTGGAAGTAGAGGGCCTTGGTACCCAATACTTTGGATTCCCTAGTGTTAGAGAATTTGAGAGCAGGAAGGCGGGAATGGGAGGATGGTGGGAGCACACCCTCATAGAAACTCCCAGAATTATATGGATTAGATATGATAGAGACAGGCTACCAGAAAACTAGATTCTAGAATTCAAACAAAAAATATCTTGATACTAAAAGTTGTTTTGAGAATTGTATATTGCAGAATACACAGCCTTGGTGTATCTACTCATCAAGCAAGCTGAGCAGACCTGCTCGAACCACTGATGTCCTGGAATCTCAGCTGAATGCAGTGAAGACATGGACGTCAGAGGCTTATCAATTTACTCTTCCCCTCACCCCTCTTCTAATATCTCAACGCCCGTAATCAGAAGAAGTTAATGAAGAGTCAGTGCCCCTATTCCCTGGGCTTGGGGACTGAGGTGGTTAATATTGGGCTGTCTTTCAAGAGAAAAGTAGTGGTTTTGTTGGAACAGGGAGGAATAGCTAGGATTTATTGCACAGCCATAACCTACTGGTAGAAATCTGTATAATTGTTATTAAGCTGAAGTTATAATTTCTTAAATGGTACAAAATTTACTTTGATTTCAAATTTAAGGTTTTCATTGGTACGAGTTTCTTATTGATATAGAAGTGAGATTAATATTGTTATTCACATAGGCATTGTGCTTATATAACACATTTAGGAATACAAGGCTTAGACCCAGTCCTTTAACTTTCTTAACTGATTTGAGACGGTTAGCCTGTGAGTTAAGGGCCTATAGCAAATTCATGGCTCTGAGTTTATTATTAGGGTGTTTTCTATATTTTATTTAGAAATAGCTGAGAGGACTTAACAGACAATAATTCAGATTGCCTTACATAGATAGTTGGTTTTCAAAACGTCAGAAGTCCACAGAATTGACGTTACAAACATTTCTGCATCAAAGTTCATTTTGATTAGAGACCTATCTGTTCCTGACAGCTTCCTGTCTTGGATTCTAAGAAGAAATTGAGCGACTTTGGAGTTACTCCAGTTGTGGTGAGATAGTCACTAGGCAAGAGTTGCCTCTTTTCATCTACAGACAAATTACTGTCCTGAAAAGTACACACTTTCGGAATAGCTGACTGATTATATCTGCCAAGACAGAGTAATCAGCCCTTAATAATTCTGCATCACAAGCTATGTCAGATGATCCTGGGCCAGAAGGCTGAAGATCGGATGTTCCAATGTTTTATAGTATAGGGACTGTCCAGGTGTTCAGAAGTCTCTATAAATTGGCTAAGTTTTAGAAGCTATGCTTTGTGCTTCCCATAATTTCAGTTAATTCAGTCATTCTGGATTTCTGACGGGGTTGAAGACTATAGTCTCATAGCCAATCCTGGCTATTTACTTTGAGAGAAAAGACTTAAGAGGATGGTTTTCAGCTGACATTCATTCTAAAGCCAAGAAAAAAATCCAGGTTCAGAACTAAGTCTTTTAGTTAGGAGAGATGACAGAGGTTCTGGTTAGTCAACAAAATGATGGACTGGGTATTAGGTCTATCTTGTCCCTTACTGACACAAACTGGTATAGTTATGCTCTAATTGTATTTTGAGAGAAAAGTTTTATCTTAACAGGAAGGGTGATATGTAGGAGGAGCTATGGTAGGAGGAGTAAGGAGAGAACAGGAGGAGTAAGAAGGGGAGGAGGAGCTAGGAGATGGGGGGAGGGGAACATGGAGGCGGATGTTTATGTGTCTCCGCCAGTCGAAGATGGTTGGTATATCTAGGTTGGGTATTGGGTTACACTTCCGATCTTGTTATTGAGCATTACCAAACTTATAAAGTCTTTGATTAACATTTTAAAAATAAAAAGAAAAAAAAGAATACAAGTATAACATTTAAAAAGGAAAAAAAAAAAACTACTGTTCAAATTGTGCTCAAAATGTGTGGATGGACAGACTTAGAAGACTGTGTGAGGACATCCTCCTCCAGACATTAACAACAAAATGGGGGAAGACAGAGGGCAATGGGAAACTCGGAGGGAATTGGGAAGAAGAGCGAACCAGACTCTGGCTATCTGTCAGACCCAAGATTGCTTTGGGCAAACAATCAGAGAGAAGTCCTTCTACAAAAAACTCTTGCTTTGACACAGGACTGCACTTTGCCTCAAGAGAGTGCTCTCTAAAGAATCTTTAAAAATTTAAAAAATATTTATTTATTTTTGAATGGAGAGGGCATGCACATACCATGGTGCACTTGTGGAGGCCATAGACAGCCTGTGAGACTTGATCTCTCCTTCCACTATGTGGGTCTCAGGAATCTAATTCAAGTCGGTTAGGCTTGGCTACAGACACCTTTACCTGCTGCGCTATGTCCTGGCCTCTGAGGACTCTTCATAATCCACGCCTATAAGACTCAAGGGACCTTCCAGCTACTTTTGACCACCTGTGGAGGGTGAGGATCCAAGCTGAGCTTTCTTAATGTTCTCATGCTAACTGGATCCTAGTGCTGCAAGCAAAGTCTGAATATGTGTGAGACACACAGGACCCACAGTGCTGTCTGTGTGTTAGCACACTCCAAAGGGGTGTGTATGGGAAAGAAGATTTGGGAAAAGGGCAAGCACAAGGTGGGAGTAGTGGAAAAGAAGTGGAAATGGGTGAGGGAAAACAGCAAAGATACCCTTGCATGTCTTTCACTGTCTGGGTAATGGATACTGCACAAGAGTCCTTAGATGTTGTGATGCTAACTTTGACCCTGGGTGATTATCTCTCAAGCATCCAGAAGTAAAACAGAAAGCACTGAAGGCCAGTGCACTGTGACAGATGGAACTATGAGACCCAGTAACACGTACACAGTTACAAAGGATCTGGTGTGACCATCAGGATTCTGAAACCCAAAGTCTTGGAAATGAAACTTGCTAGAAGCTTACTGCTGTGACCAAGAAGACAGGAAATTCTGAGAATGTTGTTGCTGGCAGTTTGCACTTAGGGAACATCCATCTAAAATCAATGCTTATGATTCCCTTGATAATAAGAATAATATACACCCACTGTCAGATCTATAGAACATAGTGAATTGATTTATATATGTATGCACAGCCCAATAATCCCAGAACCTAGACAAAGCAAGGCACTTTCCAGTGGTCACTCTGGTACAGAAGCCTTCTTGAACTGAGCTCTTGTAGCGAAGAACTTATATACTTAAGAAGCTTCAAATCAATTAGCCTATAGCAGTTTATAGAATGTAATTTTTTGACATTATACTTAACACAAACAGGTTGTGAAACAGACTCTTGAGTTATAACTTTACATAAACCATGTAAAGTTAGCCTATTACCCATTAAGGGTTTACCCTTTGTTCTGCACTCTGACATGTGTGACCACTCAATGGCCATACACAAACCTAACAAAAATAGTAAGAATATTCTGTTTTATGAAGTACAGCATGTATTTGCTGAAATACTTGGCAGTTGTGTTAAAGGATCAAGTTGGTCTTCTATTTTAAAATGAAATTATTTTGAAGGCTGGCACACAGAAACGAATATTACATGATCTTATCTGTATTTGATTCAAAACCCATAAAATTGTGTTCAGTGAAGGCTGGAGAGGAGATGAGGAGAAAATAGTCAAAGGAAACAAATTTATTTTAGAGAGGAGTAAGTTCTGTTCCCACTGTACAGTAGGGCGATAATACTGAAATAAGAGACTAAATAGTCTCACCACAAAAAAAGCTAGGTGTGTGAGGTAGCACATACATCATACATCCCTACTTGACTGCCACGCACTATTCACATGGATTCATACATCATACTGTACCCCATAGATATGACGATAACATAAAATGGAAACTTATATCAGGATATATTGGTGAACATCTATACACCCAACCCAGAAGGCTGGCCAGAAGGATTATTAATTCCAGGTCAGCCTGGATTACATAGGGAGACTCAGCCTCAACAAAACACAATGTAAACAATTAAAGAATAAAACTGAAAGCAATTTATTGCAATTAATTAAGATCTTACTAGGATACTGGGTTACCAGAGTGCATCAGGTGTGGTGGAGCTCAAGGCTGTGCCCTAAGCTAGTGAGGTGACAGCAGGAAAGCAAAGTCTTGCTTTTTAGGGGGAACAAGAGCTTCCTGCCTAGTGAATCGGATTGGAAGGTATGGAAGGTTGAACCTCTCCTATCCTCCTGCATTACTCTGCTCCAGGAGTCCTTCTCCAGCCCTCGCCAAGGAAGAGGCACCTCTAAGCAGTGAGTCAACAGTCGAGAAGAGACAGCCAGCAAAAGGCCTGCAACAGACCTGTACGTAGGATGAGCCTGGCACTTTCTCTAGCATGGGTTCCTATAACAGTTGCAAAAGCTCTAATTAAGCCCTAATTAATTGTAGCTCATCTCTCCACCCCAGAGCCTTATTCTTCTGCAAAAGAGCCAGGTCAGCTGCTCTCAGGATTGAAAGTTTCATTAAAATAATAAAAATGTTGAAGAATCCCTCTTAAGAAGGAGATTACACCTGTGTTGTGGTTATTTTAGTTTTGTTTTGGAGACAAGGTCTTATTATGTAGCCCAAGCTAGCCTGGGACTCATCCCATATCCTAAGCTAGCCTGGGACTCCTCCAATATCCCAAGCTGACCTCCAGCTTTCATCTTCTTGCCCCAGCCTCCTGAAGGCAAGAATAACAAGCATGCACAACCACACCTCGTTTGACTCATGGTTTTCACATTCCATCTGGTCCATAAGTGTTTAAGCATTCACACAACATCTCCATACTAAGGAAAACAAGAAGCGCATACTTAACGCTAGTTGTTATTGTGGATTAGGCAGTTCAGCCCCCTACTTTACCACTGGAAACACAAGCAGCATTCTGCAGTGTATCTATTTATTACACTTTATTACTACAGGAAAGACAACATAATTGCAATGCAGGAACTGTAGTGAACTAAAGATAGAAAGAGAAGATTGCTAAACATACCTGAACTAATTCTGCCTTTAGCTCTTCCTTCTCCTCCTCAGAGAGCATGCTAGAGAAGTCAGCAGTGCCTATTGCATCCCCATCTCTTCCTTGCAGTGGCTCCGTCTCCAACAAGCCTTCAGGCAAAAGTGACAACACATGAAATAAGGCTATGCATTTGGCCAGCATCCACTTCTGCAACCTGAAAGACTCCATATACTAATTTACTCTCACATTGAAAACCAACTAAAATTCTGACCCCCCCAAAAAAAAAACAACGAAAAAACAAGAACAAAGCCCTCATCCTAAACTTATGATTATCTCCAAGAAAGCAAATATTGAGAAGTCTAAAACAAAATAAACAATAAAAAAAATGTGAATGGAAAGGCTTACCCAGAATGTAAACAAGGGGCTGGAGACCCTGCCCAGTGGCTAATAACATGTACTACTCTTATGGAGGGCCTGAGTTCAGTCCCTGAGTCAGAAAGCTCACAGCCCCCTGTAACTCCAGCTCAAGGGCATCCCACATCCTCTTCTGGACTCCGAGGATACCAGCACTCACTGTACACACCCCTCTCTAACACACACTTATACACATAAATTTGAAAATAAAATATATGATTTTAAAAATGTGAACAAAGTAGGCTGTCACAGAACTTGCCTGTGTCATACAGGTTCACTTTTCACTGTCTCATGGGTTCAGGGGGCAAAGAATGTTGCCCACACAGGAAGAGAGACATACGAGACTTCAAATAAGCCTTCCTTCCCTGCAGCAGTCTTCAAGGCAACCTAACTTTTTCAAACTTTTACACATTCTATATATTTTAACATATACACATTCTATATGACTCACAGAACAAAACTGAGAATTCCAAAAGACAAACTCAGAGCTGAGTGACAGACTACATACATAAATATGAATGGAAGAATGGATGGATGGATGCATGCATGCATGCATGCATGCATGCATAAAATTAAAACAAACCCTTCCACTGAGAACTCATTACCCTTTAGTGGGCTGCATGTAACCTGACTGATTAGATGCACTTTACCTACTAACAACCTGAGGCCAGAAAAGTATTCTCTATTTTTGATGTGGCAACATGCAGAGGCTGAAACAGCCACACTTCAAGGAACCACAGGAATAAATGGTTCACCAGAGAGGAAAGGGCGGGAAGCACTTGGGGTTCGGATGCTGTCCTTGTTCCACAGACTAACCCCACAATAAATCAACCTGTAACTTGTCATGTGATAAGGAGGCCTTCGTGACATCTGGCTGACACTCTCACTGGACTGTGTGCCTGGAGAACACAGAGCATACCCACAGATATGTTCAGAAACTTTACTTATTTTTGAAATGGTATAGGGCAGAGCTGTCATTTATACATCAGTAGTAATAGGAGGGTCTTGTAATAACCATCCTGCCAGTAACATTATTTCTATGGAAACAATAATATACATATTCTATATGACTCACAGAACAAAACGAGAATTCCAAAAGACAATCAGTTTATATATAACAACCTTTGGAAACTATAAGATTTCTCTAACAAGATATAAACACGCAAATATGTAAGAAAGATTAAGAATGTTTCTCTCCCAAATACTACCAGAGACAGAGAGAAAAGTCACACATCAGAATGTATCTGCTATGTAAATGATTAATGAAAGATCAGGTACTAGAATATGTAGAATTTCTACAGACCATTTTTTTTTTTTAAGAAAAAATGAGGCTCAGCAGTCTTCACTGTCCTTTGTGTCCGACATCTAAAATTCTTCAGGTTCATCCCCAGCCCTGGAGCAAACTTCTTACAGGAGCTTATACTCCCTGTTTGAATGCACTCTCTGGGGACTGTGCCAAACCTCATGGCAGACCCAGCTTTCCTCCTTCCTGCGGTCCTTGTCACTAATCCCTTCTGGCCCAGTCCTAGTCTGTTATGTAAGGGTATAATGCCTAGAAATATATTCTGTCTGGGACCCTCAGGAGCCACACCTGCAAGGCCTTAGAAGTACTCCTTACCAGACAAGCCACAGCCAGAACAAGTTTCTAAGATCTAGAAAGGGAAACAGAAACCAAGGAACAAAAGACTCATCCAACATAGACAAGACCATAAGCCAACACATAGAATCACAATCATCCCAAACTCAGATGCCTAGACACCAGCCCAAAAATATAATTATTTATACCTAAGACAATATGTCTCCAGCAATCCCACTACTGTAGGCCCTGAGACATGCAGTACAACCAAAGCACAAGAGAAGGACTTCAAAATAGCTATTAAGGATATGTTCAAAGATATGTTAGAAGATATGAATAATCCTTTAATGAAGTCTGTAAAAACATGACCAGTGGAATAAAATCATGAGAAAGAGCAAGATATTAAAGTAGGAATAGAATCACCAAAACAAAACAAATAAACCATGAGGTAAAATTAGAAATGAAAAGTGAGTCAAACAAAAAACTCAGAGGTAAGACTCACCAAAAGAATACAAGAGATGGAGGATTCAATATATGGAAATCCATCAATGTAATCCACTATGTAAACAAATTAAAAAAAACCACATGATCATCTCATTAGATGCTGAAAAAGCCTTTGACAAGGCTATCCCTATCAAAATTCCAACTCAATTCTTCATAGAGATAGAAAGAGAAATTCTCAAATACATCTGAAAGAACAACAACAAAAAAAAAAAAAACCAGGATAGTGAAAACTACTCTTAACAATAAAAGAACTTCTGGAGAAATCACCATCCCTGACCTAAAGCTGTACTACAGAGCAATAGTGATAAAAACTGCATGGTGTTGGTATAGAGACAGACACGTTGATCAATGGAAAAGAATTGAAGACCCAGAAATGAACCCACACACCTATGGTCACTTGATCTTTGACAAAGAAGCCAAAACCATCCAGTGGAAAAAAGACAGCATTTTCAATAAATGGTACTAGTTCAACTGGCGGTCAGCTTGTAGAAGAATGCAAACTGATCTTTTCTTATCTCCTTGTACAAAGCTCAAGTCAGAGTGGATCAAGGACCTCTATGTAAAACCAGATATGTTGAATCCAATTAAAGAGAGGGTGGGAGAGAACCTCAAACACATTGGCACGGGGGAAATTTTACTGGACAGAACACCAATGGCTCATGCTCTAAGATCAACAATTGACAAATGGGACCTCACGAAACTGAAAAGCTTCTGTAAGGCAAAGGACCGTCAATAGGACAAAATGGCAACCAACAGATTGGGAAAAGATCTTTACCAACCCTACATCCAATAGAGGTCCTACACACCTCTCTCCCTACCAATACATACCTAATAATATCCAAAAATATACAAAGAACTCAAGAAGTTAGACTTCAGAGAACCAAATAACCCCATTAAAAAATTGGGTACAGAGCTAAACAAAGAACTTTCAACTGAGGAAACTCGAATGGCTGGGAAGCACCTAATGAAATGTTCAACATCCTTAGTTATCAGGGAAATACAAATCAAAACAACCCTGAGATTCCACAGTCAGAATGGCCAGGATAAAAAACAGGTGACAGCAGATGCTTGTGAGGATGTGGAGAAAAAAGAACACCCCTCCATTGCTGGTGGGACTGCAAGCTGGTAAAACTATTTTGGAAATTGATCTGGTGGTTCCTTAGAAAATTGGAAATAGTTTTACCTGAAGACCCAGCTATACCACTACTGGGCATATACCCAAAAGATGCTCCAACATATAACAAAGACACATATTCCACTATGTTCATAGCATCCTTAGCCTGAAGCTGGAAACAACCCAGATGTCCCTCAACAGAGGAATGGATACAGAAAATGTGGTACATTTACACAATGGAGTACTACTCAGTTATTAAAAACAATGAATCCATGAAATTCACAGGCAAATGGATGGAACTAGAAGGTAACCCAGACACAAAAGAACACACATGGTATGCACTCACTGATAAGTGAATATTAGCCCCACAACTCAGAATACCCATGATACAACCCACAAACCATATGGAGCTTAAGAAGAAGAAAGACCAAAGTGTATATGCTTCAATCCTATATAGAACTAGGGACAAAAGAATCACAGGAGGTAGAGGGATGGAGGAACCTGGGAGGAACTGAAAGGAGGGGGCGGGGAGGAAAAAAAGGGCACAGGCTCTGATATTAGAAGGAACAGAAGAGAAGTGCAGAGGTTCAAGAAACCGAATAGAAACATGTAGCAGTGGGGGATGGGGAACTGGGGGGTAGCCACTAGAAAGTACCAGACTCCAGGGAAGTGAGAGGCTCGCGGGACCCAGTGGTGATGACTTTAGCCAAAATACTCAACTAAGGGGAGATACAACCTATATAGACCACCTCCCATAGACAGGCATGGCCCCAGTTGAGGGATGGAGCCACCCACTCATCTCAAAAATTTTAACCCAGAAATATTCCTGTCCAATGTAAACACGAGGACAAAAAATGGAACATAGACTAAAGGAAAGACCATCCAGAGACCGCCCCACCTAGTGATCCATCCCATCTGCAGACACCAAACCTCCACATTATTGATGATGCCAAGAAGCGCTTGCTGACAGGAGCCTGGTATGGCTGTTCTCTGAGAGGTTCTACCAGCACCTAACCAATACAGATGCAGATACTCAGGAGCCAATCATCAGACTGAGCCTGGGGAGCCCAGTGGAAGAGCTAGGGGAAGGACTGAAGGAGCTGAAGGGGATTGCAACACCATAGGAAAAATAGTATCAACTAACTGGACCACTTCTTCCAGGGACTAAAATACCAACCAAAGAGTATATAGGGAAGGAACATATACACATTTATACCCATACACATATGTCTATTTGTACACACACACATACACACACACATACACACACACACACACATTGATGGCAAAAGGACTGAAAAAAGAAATCAGGGTAACTTCAGCTTTTACAATAGACTCAAAATAATTTCTTGGAGAAACTCGAACCAGACAAGTAAAAGTTGGAAGCTTGTAGTAGCTTCCCCTCTCAGCACTGGAATCCCTCTGGCTTAGACCTGTGCAGACCCTGTCCGTGCATGCTGCCACAATTTCTAGGAGTTCATGTGTTTGTCAGTCATGTTGTGTCTAGAAGGCCTTGTTTCCTTGGTGTCTTCCATACCCAC